ACATTTACTTTTGTATCTTCAAACTATCTCTATAATATGTAATTTTGTAACTCCTTTCCCTTACTCAGTTTTTAATGCACACTCTTGCAGGGTTTGGTTACTGATGGAGGAAACTGGGGCTGGTGAGGGCCTGGTCTCTTATTTAAGGCTTCATACCCTGACCTGCCTGCAGTGTCCCCATCTCCTGACCTGCTCCCTGTAAACATCTGTCCTGCTCCATAGCTACGGTGAGTCCACACGTGGCAGCTCAGATCTGCACCTGGGTGGAAAACATTCAGTCATGTTGGGGTTTGTGACAGACTGGCCTCATACAGAGCTCCCCTGAGTGAGACAGGCATGTAGGAAGGAGCTCTGGAACCATTCCAGCTCTCCCCTGTCCAGTGTGCAGTGTGTGATGCTTTCCTGAGAACTCACTTATGGAGGAGACAGCCTGGACCTGGGTATTTTTTAGCCATGGTTCCTGCTAGGAGACATGGTGTCCTGAACCTCTGCCTGGACCATCTCTGTGACTTCAGATTTCCACAGAGATGTGAGCAGACTCAGTATTCTTCTACCAGGCTCTAGCTCTATGCTGAGGCTTCAGGTGAAAAATCTGTGACCCTCAATTTATCTTATATACATTTAACCTGGAAATTCCACTCCTAAGGGTCATTATAAAAATGAGATTTACAGACACCATATTCTCTTCTTAATCAGGTAAAATGTGGACAATTAGATACCATGAATGTTCCACAGCACAGCTGCTGAGTTAATTATAAATTACAGCCACTGAAAATGCTAAAAGAAGGCCATGTCCTAGGCCATGTCCCTGATCTTTCCTGAGATGGAAGAGAGCTTGTGTCCTGGCTCTCTCTCCACCCAGCAGTGAAGAGACACAAGCCTGCACAGCAGATGAGGACAGGAGTGAGGAGCTGGTCAGTGGCAGACCCCTCATCCTGGGAGGGATGCCTTTATGGCTTTTCCATTGCATTATTTATAGTGCTCCATTCAATATTGCTGCTCTTCTGTTCAATTCCGTTCAGAATAAATAGTTGGTATTTTCTTGAATAGGTGAGTGGAAATGGATGATTTAATTTTCTTTTATGTGTAATGTAGGATAAGCATATGGAAGAACATTCAAGCTTCACTTTATAGATATATAAAATAAGGAGTCTTTTTATTCAGAAAGGCAACACATCATTCATGACTAACTTTTAAACCTGCCATGTGGATCGTGCTGTGGTGGGTGTCCTGCCCTCCCTACCTGAGAAGTCACTGTGACCATCTGTGTCTGGCACAGGACACCCAGAATCTTCTTCAGAGTCTCTTTTTCCAGCAAGGAGGACTGGAATCTTCCTGTGCTCAGGCCACGCAGGGAGTGTGCAGAATGCAGAGGAGCCCAGTACCTCCTGCCTTACACCGTTTTCTACCACAGCATCCATGCTGCAGCCCTGCAGGCCCAATAAGGCAGAGCCCCCAGGGTGCAACAAAGACCCTACCACCTCAGCCCCAGGGGCCTCAACTCCTGGGTCCTGGCCTCAGCCTCCACCAGGCTCCAGGCTTTGCCATGTATTGGACATTCATAGTGGTCCAGACACACCATCAGTGCCTTGGTGCAAAGGCCATTTTCCACAGTAACCCTTCCATTCTGCAAATTTTGATCCTTTCCTTTTAAAAGGAGGTTGAGGCATTGGAGACAAAACCCCACACTTTGGCATTACGTTTTGTTTTTCTTTCTTTCCCCTTCTTGTTTTCTTCTACCCTTTCTTCTTCTTCTTCTTCTTCTTCTTCTTCTTCTTCTTCTTCTTCTTCTTCTTCTTCTTCTTCTTCTTCTTCTTCATCTCTTCATCTTTGTCTTTGTCGTTCTCTTGGACTTCTTTGTCTTTGACTTCTTTATCTTCTTCTTGGTTTCTTTGTTGCTTTAAGCATATATTTAGAGGTGCATTTGGCCAAAAACCTTTCTTTGTCTTTTCACTTTCCAGTTTACTGAAGTTTTTACAGATCTCTAATGCAATTCTAACCCTATGTGTTTGAATGCTCAGAATCCATTCTGTGGCTTGGTAGAATGAGGGAAGTAAAGAAGAAACTGAACTTGGGGAAGTTTTTGTGCATTTTAGCATATCGTGCAACAACACGTGACTCATGGCTTTTTACCTTGAAAATATGGACTTCAGCAGCAAGTGGGTCTGCTACAGACAAAATGAGTTTCCTGTATGTATTTCAAACAATCTCATTTCCCCTCAACTTGTGAAGCACATGGTATATGTTTCTTATGGCCAAACTTGAAAAATTATTTCCAGTAAATGAAAGGCTGCCACTGGTCCTGAAATGATGACAGAACTTTCTTGTAAACAGATAGTCTGATTCACACCCTGGCCAACAGAAACTAAGAGAGTCAGAGATGGCTGGCACAGATAGAAACACCTCAAGATTGTCAACTACCAGCCACAACAAGTAGGAACCACGTTGCTGAGCTTTCATTGTTGGGTGATTGAATTGTGTGGTGGGTTTTGAACTAGGTTTTTAGGGCAGCGCAGTAAATCTAGGTTGCTGCTTGGATCCCCCTTCCTGCAGTGCAATACAAACAGAAAGTCATGAGCATGCATCATTTAATTGAAAATTTCTATTGCAGTTATGAAACCTGTATGCATGAGAGTCCACATCTCTATCATAGCAGACCCACCCACGTGCATTACCACCATATCTTGTAAAGGGTCAGTTTATTTATACAAAATTCACAGTGATGTTCTCAGCCTTGATTTTCCAGACTGGTGCATTTCTTGAAGGGAAGTCATTTCTTGAAGGGAATTTCTTGAAGGGAAGTCATCAGTCATTCTTGAAAGGAAGCTAAATGATTTTATTTTGAGTAAACTTCAAGTATGTTGCTATGCTTCTGTCTGATGTCCTCGCTGCCAGACATGAGGAAAGCAATGAGTGGGATCTGCTGCAGGTTTAGCTCCAGAGGGACACATTGCACAGCTGTGTCAGGCAGGGCTCTCCATCACCTGACTTGCCACCCTGATATCCAAATACCCTTGCACAGTGCTGTCTTTGGCTTCGGGAGGTTCTGGATTGCAGTGGAGATGCCCAGTGTACTGGCTGGCCCTGGGGAAACCTTGTCATGCCATGAGTTTGTCATCCTTAGCCCTGCACCTCTGTGGCCCTGGGGCCAGGACAAAATTCCCCCCGGCTGCAGTGAACAGCATCGTCCCGACAGCTCTCCTTGTGTGTACTCTATGCGGAGGCTAGCAAGGGTCCCAGCTCATTCCTGCTTCAAAGAGTACTGTGAATCAAACTCTTGAAAATTTGTGCAGCATTCTGTGTGGGAGAAAACTCTATTCTTAGTCCTAGGAGTTCTGGGGAAGGCTGTTTAGAGCTCTGATGGGAGCTGGGAGATATGGCTGTGCTCTGCCCTTCCCATTGTTGTTCAGCACCTGCCTTCAAATGTGTCAGTGGATGGAGGAACAACACATTTCAGGGATGTGTGCCTGGATGAAACCAGTTTAGGAGGCTCATGTCTGGTGTTGGCCATGTCTGGTGATTCCCTTTGAGTTAGAAGAATTTGCCATTTCCTTCACAAAATGGACTCATGAAACCTCTTTCACACTTGTAATAAAAACCATCTATCTGACTCTTGGTTGTAAATAAAGGTTTCCTGTTTTGGTTTTTGCATTATTGTTGTTTTTCAAATGCAATGAATCAGCCCTTTGTAGCTCCCTTTGTATCACTGAAATCATGGAAAACATTTTCAAAAATGAAAAGATTAGTACATACACAATGGTCTCTACATTTTCCCTGTAGACTTTTTTTCTCTAGGATTTTCTCTTCTTTCAAAGAGCAGTAGCAGCCAGTCTCCTCCAGAAATGTTTGGCCAAGCAGAATCTAATGCTCTGATATGAAAGACCCAGGGTACTCGCTGGTAAGTGTGGACCACTGCAGCTCTTACAGGGGGGAGAACTAACAGTGTCTCCTGAGATCCACGCCATGTTGGAACTTAGGACTCTGGGAAGCCAAGCCAGCACCTCTGCTCCCTGGTAAGCAGTGGTAGTGTGGCCCACTGCAGTCCTTCCAGGAGGAGAACTAGCAGTGTCTCCTGAAATCCATGCTATATTGGAACTGAGGACGCTGTGAAAACAAATGACCATTCTGCCTCCTTGCTAACAATAGTGAACCTACTGCTACATGGCCTAGAGTCAAATATCCCACTTCCCCTATCCTCCTTCCCCTCCTCCTCCCTGCCCATTAGCAAGTGGGAACCAGAAATCTGAGCATCTCCTGGGAGGTTGACCATAGCAAATAAGGGGGACTTCCTTCTACTATTTCTTTGACGGCAAATACTTTTATTACTGTTTTGCTCTTTTCTGATTAATGGTACTGCTCTATTCAATATTCTGTTTTGATAAGTTCTATAGTGTTCTATATTTCATCTCATTTTGATATACAGGATTGAAAGAACAACTATTATAAAGATAACAAAATATACTGTGATACCTATGACTGTTGTTCCGGTAACCTGCTGTGAAGTTCTGTACCAATTTCACTGTACAATCTTAGTTGGCTTTATTCTGACTTGTTCTGTTGTATACTTGCAAAATAAAAATTAAAAGAAAAAGAAAGACCCAAGGTAGTAAATCACAGTGAGAGAAAGGTCAGCACTGGGTGGGGACTAGCAGGAGAGAACAGGGGTATGGATGGGTCCAACACTGAGCAGAAAGCTGGCACTCGACAGATGTGAAGATTGTACCAATTGACGATGTGCTTACATGTGACTCAACTGAACATGTGGAAACTAATGAAATGTTAACTTAAAATTATCTTAGAATTTAATGTTTCAAAGAACTGTAGACTTAAGAGTAGAAAGGAAAACTGAGAGAAATAGAAGAGGTAAAGGGAAGGGCAAGCAAAGGGCAGGTGCTTTGCAGGACTTGAGCCCTAAGTGGAGCTCAGGACACCTGCCATGGAGCCAGCAACAGGCCTGCCTTGGAATTCCACCAGACCAGTTATCTGCCCTTTATTTTCAGGTTGATCCCAGAGCTGTTGAAGTCATTGGACGTGGAGCTGGCACAAGATCTGTAAGTAGACCTTGAGCTCAGTCCAGTACCAGCCCTGCTTTAGAAAAATCACCAACTGTCCTTGCTTCTTGCAGGCCCCAAAACCTCCCAGGGCCTGTCAGGGACAGCTCTGTGCACAAATGCACCCCAGGAAAACTTCCCATTCTCCCTGACCCCACTCACTTCTGCATGCCTCTGTGTTGCAGGAGGCCCCAAGTCTGAGAGTCTTTTTCCCTTTAAAGTGTCCCATGTCCTCCTCAGAAACCAACAGACCCAGGCCAATTCCTTCTCACTGTAGTTCTCATTTTCAGTGAGCTAGGCTTGGCCCAACTCAATCAGATTTGATAGGGCTGGTTGTCCCACCTTGCTTAGCAGCACCTGCCAGGAGCCAAGAAGAGAAACTCTGACCCTGAGGAGGACAGGTGTAAGCAGCACTACAGGTGTGGCCTCCCTCCCAAATGGCCCTCCCAGGGTATCCTGTTTGCTAACCATAATCAGCCCTCACTTGCTGTCAGAGGTCCCTGGACAGTGCTGTTACCACCTGTCCTACACTCTGTAGGAATCCTGAAATGCAACTCCCTTTTCTACCCTTGTGGCCCGTTGCCTCTGTGAGAAAGCAAGTGGAGTCTGCAGTGTTACTCTAATGGTTGCTCAACAGGGTGCTGCTCTATAACTATCTGAGAAGTGAGTGGACAGTGGGAGTGCATCCTGCCTGCCTTTCCTCCACCTTCAGTGCATATGCATCACTCCATTCTGTGTGCCTTTGTGAGTCTCGCTTTCCCCTATTTTATGTCCATATGTACAGAGGCCAAGAAGTTAGACACATTCACCATAATGTGGGTGGTACATGGCCTGCTCTCCAGGGTGCCTGTGTTGCCTTCATAACATGGAAACACAAGAGACCAGTGTTTGTATCTGCTCTGGTCACTGCAACATGGTCAATACCTGGTACACTGATGATTTAAGGCACCTACCAGCTCCCTCTATAATGTCTATGTGGAACTGGGTCATCTGGAATCCCCCAGAGATTCTTGCTCTGGATACCATGGAAGCACATGGAATGACTGCCCAGTGTTCTTCAGATTGTAGACAACTGCTCCACCCCAGGGATGGATCCTTGGCAGGAGGCAAAGCTTCCCCACGGGAAAGGAAAAACTGCAATGAAGCCAGGGTCCCCATTCAGAGAAGACCTAGTTTTAGACCCAACTCCTCCTTCCTACTTCCCTTGTCAACTTAGAAAAGACACCATGCCTCTCATGTCCTTTCCAGTGTGTCCCCCTGAGCTATGGAGGTCATATTGGCATCTGCTTCCTAGGGACATCATCAGAGGTGAGAGATGACACTTTTAAATTTGTGGGCTGGTGTCATGTGTACACAGTGTACAGAATTAGAGGTGAAATCGATGAAAGGTGGGAGGGAGGTGAACACATTGCACATAGGCCTAGATCCTTCTGTATGGTGGTGTAAATGACACTCACCTCCTGGACATGTTTGCCTGGTGTCATCATGAGGGGGCAGAAGTTCATCAGATTAACCATCATTTTGTTCCCTAAGCATCTCAATTTCTTCTATGTATTGGTTCTATGGCCCCAAGTCAGGACCTCACACAGGCTAGGCAAGCAGTATGGATCCAGATGCACCCCCAGATCTACCAGCACTGTGCCTCATTCACACCTGTGTGAGTCACTACACCCATGGCCAGCGTGCTCAACTGCTGACAGCTCACCTTTTGATGGCCACTTCCTGAGTAGTCCATTCCTTGACCATAGGTCACAGGTAGAGAATTTTGTTCAGCTTTGTATTAGCTAGGCTGAAATTTATCCCAGATCCTCACACATGGTAGGGAAGTACTCTATCCTGAGCTCTCTACCCAATTCCTTACTTATTCTTAATAACAGAACATGGCAGACGTGATGGGATGTTACTATCAAGGTTCACACATAAAATGCCTGTGACCAACCTCCTGATCTCTCCCTCCTCTGTTCTTCCTTCCTTTCTCTCTCTTTTGTTTTTTCTTCCTCTCTGTATTGCTATCTCTGCATCTTCCCTGAGGAGAGGCTGACTCTTTGCAGAGAAAAAGGGTAAGAGACAGAGCAGACATCAGACCTCCATTCTAACCTTGTTCCTGACTATTAGCAAGAGAGAGAGCCTGAGAACAGATTTTGCCACAGATGTGCTTCCACTGATTCTGCAGCCTGATTTGGAGAACCTACGGTGGATCCCCCAGCAGCACCTCCTGATTCCTAACCCATAGAACCTGACAGAACTGAAGTTTATCTGTTGTACCTAAGTTTGCAGCCATGCATTCATCAGTGGTCACTGATGTGCTATATCAGTTGTGAGGTTCTGCCCCACACCTGTCCTTTGATCACTCTTCCCTTCCCTTATTCTCACCAGGCCCTCTGTTCTCTCTTCTCATCTCTTTATTGACTAAAAAAATTTGAATTTGCATCTCTAAATTGTTGGTCCTCTGTCTTCTGCCACACAGACTCAACCAAGTACAGCATTAGGGTCTGCATGTCTCAGGTTCAGGCATCAGTTCCATCTCAGTGAGGCTGTTCAGATCCCCCCATGTAGTGACCTTGGCCTCTGTGTGCCCTTGCTTTATTGGGGTATAGCGCTGGGTCTTCTCTTCCACTACATTCTGCTGTGGATTGTCCCGCTCCTCCAGCCTTTCAGCTTCTGGGTGGCCAGTGACATATTGTCCTTTTCTGTGTTGGTGCCAGCCTCTTTCAGCCGAGGAATAAGGTGAGAATTTGAGGCACATAGATTGAATAGATCAGATCAATTTTCCTCTGAGCAACCCAGTGTGTGATCATGGCATCACTGTGTGTTCGTGTATGTGTGTGTGTGTGTGTGTGTGTGTGTGTGTGTGTGTGTGTGTGTGCACATGTGTGTGTATCCCTGGGGATGCTGCTTGAAATCAGTCCCACATGTTTAGGCTCAGGTCCCAGGAGCTTGGTGGCTGTTTTTCTAATGCCTTTGGGAGTTGGCTGGGTCCTGTGCTAGGAGGTCTTTCTCCTTTGGACTTCTCCCCTATCCTCTTCACTCTGCCCATGTCCTGTGCCTAGGACCTGGCATTGTCCCTCTCTCGGCACTGGTTCTCAAATGTCCATTGGGAGTGGAATAACACACATAGTCCTTTACTGTGGAAATTCTAGCATGCTCGGGGGTGAGGCACTAGAGGGTCACATGGGGTTCTCTTCACCTCAGCACTGTCCCTATCCACACCTGCCTGTAATTTGATACCATCCCTACTAAGGTCCTCATCCTCAGGTTACCTCACATTGCCATTGTCACATGCAGTCCCTTGGGCAGGGCAAGGCCTGGACTTAGAACTCACCATTCACTGTCACTGATGCCTTGCCCAAGCCTGTGACACTTTATAGGCCCACTTGGTTCAAAGACCATGGGAAAACTTTCTATCATCTATCGAATTCAGGAGCTACACCATAGCTCACACTGGGGCACCCACGTGCTCAGCTATTTCTTTGTGGGAAACCCAGTGGCTGCTGAATCTGTGACCTAACCTCTTCTGCTGTGCAGGCCCCAGTGGCATCACAGTGCAGCCAGGACTTGGGGGAATAACTTCAGCCTGGAGTATTTATAGTGTGGAGCAACCAATCAGCTGGCCTCTGTGAAGGCTGCAGGGGTTTACACCATGACACAGCAGATCTGTGATTGAAGACCTCCCCCCACCCCCAGCCCCTGAGGAGTCATGGAGAGCTCTTGGGTGCCCTCCATCTTTGCGGCCTGGGCACGTGCCTAGCAGATTCTAGTTCTGGGCTTGTTTTTACTACCTGGGACCAGATGCCATTGCTGTTTCCCAGTGCTCATTTCTCCCATTTGTTTGCCTCCATGGCCATTATATTTCTTTAATTATGTACACAAGGCCTCATTATCCTTAATCAGCCTGTGTTCATATGTCTCATTCTTTTACTGAATTACTGGAGAAATATGTGACTTATAGGTGGTGTCATACTGAGCCAGACTTTATGCAAATTTACTCTGTCCAGAGAAGAGGGCATAGGCAGCCATATTCATGACACTGTATGGAAATAAACCACAGGGTAATTCAATGGACATCCTGCCTGCAACACTGCACTTTCTATTCTAGGCCATAGACTTTACTTGGAACACACAGTGCCTCACATTTTAATGGTTGTATTACAGCTACAATACTTTACTTTTGTGATTTTTTTCTTGTTAAGCACTCATAAATTAAAATTAATAATTTATCATTGGAAATATCTAAAGTATAAACATGGGTGTGACACTTCCATGGTGCTGCTCTGTAACAAAAGAAACTGTGTTAGTCTCCTTCATATAAAACAGACATGAAATGACCTACATGTAATTAAACATGGACCAGTTTTGATGTGTATATGTCTATAAAGCCAGGAACATAATTAATAAAACAAATAATCCTAAGAATTACAAAAAATTCCTGAATTCTTTTTCTATGCCCTGCCACGAGTCCATGAATACGTGCATGAGAAATTGATGCAATCTGTCTGGATATTCCCTTCTCAGACAAGGAGAGATTAAACAGTTACTTACAGCAGGGTAAGTCAGAGGAGAAACACAACTGCAGTGATGTGGAAAAGGTAGGACAGGTAAATTACAAGGCCATTGGATGAGTGGTGGCCAGAATCTAGTCAGAAGGAAAAGAAAAGAAAATATATTTGTGTAGTGAGTTGATGAAAATGTTCTGGAAGAGGACACTGGTGAAGGTTTCACAATATGGAGAAGGCACTAAATGGTACCAAACTCATCAACTGAAACAAGAATAAATCCTTCAATTTCATTTGCAATGATTCTATCACTGGCATCCCAGAATAGAATAATAATAAATAGAATAATAGGTAAATCTGGAAGAGAGGGGAATGGCAGGAGTGGGTCAAGAGCTGCCTGCAGGTAGAGGTCAAGAGATGACTCCTGCTGGGGAGCCACCAGGAGATCCAGCTCTGCAGCTGATGGAGAAAGGACAACATGTGTCTGCTCTTCTATGGGGTTAGAGCTGGTGAAGAAGCTGCAGGTGGAGCTGGCATGAGCTCTGCGGGTGCAAATTCAGCATGCACTGGAATTGCCTCTGCAGTTTCAGGAGAAGAAAACATCACTGAGTTTCCAGGGACTTCTCAGGGCCAAACCTTCCCACTGCCTGTCAGATGCAGCTGTGTGCATGAACACAGCCCCAATAAATCCTCCCAGACTGCATCCCCATACTGACTGCTGAGGGAATCAGGTTCCTGTGTCTCCCATCATCTGGGTACATTGTTCAGTTCAGTAGCACATTCCACCCTGTCAAGGCCACAACCCACATCCAGGGCTCCTTACCCTGTGACTTAGGCACCAAGGACTTAGGAGGCTCCAGATGGTCCATTAGAAGCTTGGCCTGGGGATCCACCTTGGAGTTCAGCTCCAGTGAGGAGTCAAGGACAGGAGATGCATCCTTAGAGCTAACAGGGAGGTAGCAAAGCAAGCGGTCTGGCCTCTCTTCGAACACCACCTACACAGGTTACCTTGGGGGGGGCACATGGGTCTCAAGCCCAGCAAGTTCACTGTCCACTCCCACCCTCTCCCAACTACAGTGTGGCAGTGTGGGACTTGGGATCCCTAGAGGCTGACAGAATGCTTCCTGTGAGGCAGTCCTTGCTTAGTGTTATGACACCACTTCCTTCTTTAAGGGAGTGTGACACAGTTTTTCCCTGCCCTTCCCAACTACAGGTCAGGTCAACAAAGGGAAAGACTGATATCTGCCATTTCTTTGCACTTAAGGGCTCAGGGCTGGTGCTCCATGAATATCTGAGAAGTAAGGAGTCATCGATATGTATCCCGCCATTCTGCAGTGTCTAGGTCAGGCAAACATCTGCTGCCCAGTTCTCTTGGTCTCTGTAGAACTCCTCCTCCATGGTCTGTAACCACTTCCAAACAAGGCCTTGTACACAGAAAGATTTCCTTGAGGTGAACCATATCTGTTCTGCTGCCAATGCTGATTCTGTGGCCTCCAAAGAACATCAAAACTCGAAAGGGCAGTTGTTACACCTGTTCTGCTTACAAGATCATGGACAATACTCAGAAAAGTGTCTTCACACAGGGTGTCTTCATGTGTATTTTGGCTTGATGACACCCACTCACTTTGCAGTGATACCTGTGGGCCATGGACACTTTGCCATCCCTAAGAATTCCTGCCCTAATCATACCCTGAAACCCCTAGAGTGACTCTCCAATCTCCTTTCCAAAGAACAGAACCGTTTTCCCCATGTGTGTGTCAGTGAGGGGGATGGAAGGTCATCCCTGGGAATCAGGACAGCCTCTGTAGCAGGTCTTCATGGGGCCAAGGTCACAGCTAATCCCTTGCCATGGATCCCCCATTTCCTCCGCAGTGACCCTGCACTCTGGATCCACTCAGCATCCCACAGTTCAGTGTTGTAAACCAAGACTTAGGTGCTTGTACATGGCCAGGACTTGAATACACAGGTGGCCAAGTCCCACAGGGCTGCTCAGGTGATAACTTAACTTCTCTGTATCTGAACTAGTCCTGGACTCAGTGTCTCTGAGTGGCTGGAGGTTGAGCCTAGGCATATGTGTTCTGTGCTTCCTCTTGTCTCTGGGTGCCTCTGGGCACCTGTGCGTGCCAATGCATCCTGGCCTGGGTTGCTGACAGCTGGGTGTTTCCAGTTGAGCTTCCTGAAGCATCTGGACCAAGTGAACCATCCTCTCCATATGTTCCCTCATGGTTCCCTGACACAGGGTCCTGATGATGGGGCCACTAGCTCTGGGAAAGCAGCATAGCATGTTCCTTGTTCACTGTCTCTAGCCAGCCATCTATTAAGGCCAACTGTCACCAAACCACAGTGCCTGGTGACCAGAGCCTTCAGAGTTCTTTTTGGACTTGTCACCAAGAAAGTAAGATCATGTGCTGGGGTCCACAGTTCAGGCTCCACCTCTGATGCCTCCTTTGTTTTTATTGTGCACTAATCTGTGTCCTGAGAAACAGCAAGTTAAAAAACGAGCAAAATATGTGTGTTTTTAGACTTTTCCAACCAAATGATCCTTTCTCTTGAGGATGAGGTGCACAGTTTCTTCATTAAGAGATTCCTCAAATTTTATTTTGACTGTCTTTTCTGGACTTATGTTATCACATTATCACAAAGGAGCATGGAGCTGTTCCCAGAATGGCCCTAATAATTTTCCTTGAAGGATATGAAATGTTTCATGTTATAACACCCATGTGTACATGAAAGGAGGAATCATAGCAAGTTTTACTCTCACATGCCTATGAATGCTCATTTCATCCTTAGATGTTTTCCTCAGCCACACACTGTAGTGCTCCGTACTCTGACCTCCTTTGAGGAGGGACAACAGGGGCTGAGGGCAAGGGGAGGCTTTGCAAGGCCATGGACATCACCACCCTGTGCTGATGAAGGACACATGGGCATCACTCCTGGGGAATTTGTCTCCTAATCACTTTTTCATTTCCTGTTCTCCCATCCCAAGCAGACCATGGGCTTTGTGTCCATGCTGGTTAGTTTGCCTTTCCTAGAGGTGATGGCGCTGAGCCTATTCAGTCTCAATGCTCTTGGTTGGTCTCCTTCAAGCAGCATCTGTGTGCTGGGCTCTCCACATACTGCTGCTAATTGCTGGTGGAGCCACCACACACTCTCATGGGGCTGAACCTGCCAACTGCAACTTGTTCATGCATCTGTCACCCATCTAGTGATCCCATTTGTTCTGTTTCTGGGTTGGTCCTGGAAAGCCAGCTGCCACTACCATTCTTATACATGGTCTTGAGTGAACATAGATTTTTATTTCAAAGAAAAAATACTTAGATGTGAAATTGCCAGATTATATGTCTTATGTGTGATTAGCTTACAAACTGTTAAGGTACACTTGGAAACATTTTTTAAAATCACAGATGGTTGTTTTCTTTTTGGTACTGAGGATTGAACTTATGACCTCAGGTTTGCCAAGTGGGCACTTATACTGTTGAACTAAACCTCCAACACTGTTTTCTTATTTTGTTTTGCTTTGTTTTATTGTGTTTTTTATGCTATAATATGTTATGTTATGCTATGTTATGTTATGTTATATTACACTATGTTTAGTGTTGGTGAGGATTTTGAGTCTCTTTCAGTGCATTTTCAGTGCTTTCTGATTTCATTTTTTATAATTCACCTGATAAACTATGACATATCATATAATCCTGGGTAATTTAATTTTGGAAAAAAATTTAGAAAGTAAGTGAGAGCCAGGTTTGGTAGTAAACGTCTCTAATGTCAGAAGTTGCAAGGCTGAGGCAGCAAAATTACTGTGAGTTGAGGTCAGCCTGGGCTACAATGTGAGTTCAATGGAAACCTAAACTTCTTAGCAAAATCCTGTCTCAAAAATAAATAAATAAATCAAAATAAAAAATACATTTAAAAGGTTTAAAAAGCCACAAAAACCATCTATAACTCGACAAATCAAATCCTGGTGAATTTTTCTTACATACATACTTTAGTTAGCAAACTGAGCATTATGCTTCCCATGAGGTAGACATTGATCTACTGCCAAGAAGTTGAACTGTTTCAACTTTTTTGACCTTTTAACTGAGATGAATGTAGATATGCTACTGAATATATACTCTTAGGATTTGGAGAGCTTAGTATAAAGAGAATTTGATGGTTCTTTTTATTTTTGTACTAACTTTATATATGGAAGTAGGATTTGAGCAAAGGATTACTGTTTTTTTGAAAAGACTTTCTTGTCTTATTTTAATGTAACTCAAGTACATATTAATAAGGACCACATAAAAGATGCTATTGTTAAGTCTATAGAAGGATAAAATACAGAAGAATAATGAGAGAATAACATTGGCTACTGTATTGTGCACAATGATTTCTTAATGATCTGTATTTTCATATATTTGTAAAATGTGTTAATGTTTTTTACAAATTTTAAAGCATGATCTCAGTAAGATTGTGGGTTTCCCAGGCCAGGCTTAAACCTTTCCTTATTCAATCTCCCTCCCTCTCCCAGAGTGCTAGGATTGCAAGTATTATCTTGAGTTGATAATCAGCAAAAATTTTGTGCATTCATAGAATGAAATATTTGGCTTTGATCTTTAGACCTTTGCAGAGAGAGTATATCTAGTTAAGCTATGTACCAACTTCCTAACTGGCAGTTTTTTTCAAAGTAAGTAGGATTGAAAATCCCATTAACACTGTTTGGAGATTCTCTGTTTTGTAACTGTGGTCATCATGCACTTCAGAATATCACTGCAAATGCCTTCTGCACTGGTATTGAGGCTTGGTGTCTTTGAAGCACATTCTGTTTTTTTTTTTTTTTTTTTAATCCCTCATGGATTTTCATGACTGTTTGTAGTGAAACCACAAGAAAAGTATGAAAGCTAATGCCACTTGGGGCACACTGCTCTCCAGAAGGCCAGGACAGTTTAAAATATTATTTTTTTCTACCATTGGACTTTCCAAGTTTTTGTTTTCCCCTCAGTTTCTATGGATTGTATACTGAGATTTTCACTTAGCTCCATGGTTTTCCACATTTAAAATTCTTTTTATTTTCATCCAGATTCTGGATAAGTGGCTATATTGGTAAGGCTGTCTTTAAATTTGTGGTGCTGTTGCCTCAGCCTTCCGGACTGCTGGCATTACCAGACACTCCACCAGTCCTGTTTTCATCATAGTGTTGTTAAAAACTCATTGGCTGAGCATGGAATGTTGAAAATGCCTGCAATGCCTGCACTCAGGAGGCTGAGGCAGCAGGATTGCTGGGAGTTCCAGAAAAGCTTGCAACACACTCTGAGTTCAGCTTAGGCCAGAGCTACACAGGAAGAACTTGACCAAAAACTGAAAAAGAAAAAGAAAGAAAACTAAAGGAATGGGAAATGAAGGAAAGAAGAGGGGAAAGTGGAGGGGAGGGAAGGGAAGGAAAAGGGAGAAACAAAACAAAATTCCTGGCGACTGTATGAGTTGGTCTCTACTGGGCTGGCCTGTTTAATCTGTAGTCCAGTTCTTGCAGTATAGGACCCTTTTGACTGTTGTCACTTTATTATATACCAGAAAACTCTGTATTTTGTTGCCTCTAACTTTAATATTTTTTCCATGGCTATAGGATAGACTCTTTGTCCTTCCATCTGAATTTTCATATTGTTTTTCTATTTCTAGGAAAATGGCTCTGATATTTTGACAGGAATGGCATTTGAACACCTGATTGCTCTGGGTAGCATGTACATTATAACAACATGAATTCTTCCCATCCACCATCACAGTCTGTCTTTTCTTCTCTTAGTGCCACTTCACTCATTGCTTCAATTTCAACAATTTTCCAGGAAGAGGTGTGTTTGATTCAAATTTTACATGAGTATTAATTCTTTTCGATGAATTATTAAATGAATGGTGTTCCTTGTATTTCGGGTTGCAGTTTGTTTGAAGCACATAGATATGAATTGATTATGACTTGTGGATTTTGTACCTTGAAACTGAAGTTATTTGTCAGGTTGTTCTAAAAGTTTTTCAGTTGAGTTTTAACTTTCTTATATGAAACGTTGTATCCTTAGGAAAGAGAGACACCTCTTAATTCTTCCTTTCTGATTTGGTAAACTTTTGGGTTCTTATTGTTGATATTTCTTTTTGTTCTTATTTTTTCCTGGCTTCTTTGATTATTTAAGCATATATTTAGAACTGCAGTTTGCCAAAAAACATTTCCTTGTGTTTTCACTTTCCAATTGACAGAACTTTTTACAGATTTCTACTGTAGTTCAAACCCTAGGTGATTGAATGCTGAGAATCCACTCTCCACCTTGGCAGAATGAGGGAAGCAAAGCAGAAACTGAACTTGGAGACACTGCTGTGCCTTCCAGCATTTTGTACAGCAAACCCTGACTCATGCTTGTTTACCCATAACATATGGGTGTCAATACCAACTGAATCTGCCACTGACAAATGAGTTTCCTACATTTACTTCAAACAATCTCATTTCCCCTCAACTTGCTAAGCACATGGTCTAAGGAGTCTTACACCCAAACTTCAAAAATAATTTCCAGTAAACAAGAGACTGCTACCCATCCTGAAATCATGATGGGATTTTATGTAAAGACATAGTCTGATCCACACCCAGGCAATCATGAGCTGAGAGGAGCAGAGATGGCTTGTGCAGATAGAAACACCTTGAAATTGTCAACCAGCAGCAGCATCAAGCAGGGAGCAGAGCTGCTGAACGCTCACATTTGGGTGATGAAATCATCTGGTGGGTTTTGCCTTGGGTTTACTGAGGTGGCTCAGTAAATCTAGGTTGTTGTAGTGCAGTGCCAAAGGGAAGTCATGTCTATGTAGCATTTATTTGGAGTCATTCTTTTGCAATTGTGAAACCTGCATGCATGAGGTTTCACAGCTCTGCCACTGCAGACTCACCCACAGGCATTATTTCCATGACTTGTAAAGGATCAGTTTATTTACACAACATGCAGAATGCTGTTCTCAGCTTTGTTTTTCTCAGACTTGTAATTTTCAATCATTTCTTCAAAAGAAGCTAAATGATTT